AATTAACCCAGATAAAATGGGGACTTTTCTTAAGTTAACAATAAGGAAAGAAAAGAAATAAGAACCTGTAAAAATATTTCCATAGCTCTTGCAATAAATACAAGTCATAATACAGTATCAAAATTCGGGACTGCACCAGCAGAATTATTTTCCCTTTTGAAGTTATCATCAATTCTGAAGCGCAACAGAGGATGCAACCAGCAGAGACATACCAGAAGACAGTATCATGCATGGATGACATAAAGAGTGTTTCAAGCATAGCTCAGAAGTCCTGTATTGACAAGGATGTCAATGCACATTCTATCCATAATCCTGGCAACATGCTGCATAATCCTTACACTTTCATGAACAGGTGATACTTTATTGTGAAAAGCAGCCATTCCCAAACCAAACTACCCCAGCTGTCAGTCTCTACCTACCTAAAGGCCCTGTTTTCATCCAGCAGCCCCCTTCCCCTAAGAGTGCATGAATAGAGAATTACAAACATTTCACACTGCACGTTCCACTCCAAGTCCTGGATGAGGGGCCTGTTTATTCTATGAATATTGCACTTATCCACTCATTGGATTTGCTTTTTCTCAAGAATGAAGAGTATTTGGGAAAAAAAATAGAAAAAATAGTAGGATACAACACAGGAAAATATGAGTTATTAACAAGCTAGCTATGAAGATCTAAAATTAAATAGTACTAGTTCTATTCTGTTAATACTAGTAATATGAAAATAATGAATGCTTTATCAAATTCCCTTGTTTTTCATATAAGATAAAAGCAGTAACTTTCTTTTTAACTGAGGAAAGCAATGAATATATATTACAATAAAATATGATTCATTAAGATCTGAAAGTGATGAAAACAATTATATAATGCCTTCGTCAAACTTTATAGCATCATAATGGAAGGAGTCTTTGGGGTGCATATCCACAAGGGCCAAATCCATTTTTTAGCTATACCCATGCAGATGTGAAATTCCATTTTGAAGAGTTTAGCTGCAAGGCAATTTCAATCTCTCTATTGTGTATTTACTATTATTGTATACATTGATTTAAAAACTTCCTGTTGACACATCAGTTAAATATCCCGACACGTGCCCATCATCCTTTTATCTTGAAAAGTTTGGCTTGCAAAGGACTAGTACATATGACTACACTCACCCATTGCACAGTGTGACAGCTAAAACAATGAATAGGAATTGCCTCCCACGGGGAAGGACTCCTAACAAAAATACATGACTCTTGCTGTTACAAGAAAGTGTTTTGAAAGGGAAGACAAGGGAAACCAGCAATTAAACTTTTCAGGCATTATATAAACCTCAATAACAAACTCAGAAGTGCTCATTATTATTAAAGTTGCAGTATACAGCAAGACACAATTTTCACATTCTTTAATTTTGTTCTCTGGCATTGGAGTTTGGAATTTCTGCTGGTCCAAATTTAAGACTCTTTGGAAAGCATGGAGAGTGGCTGAGAGCAAGACTGCGAGAGCAGCCACCTCTCCACCCAGAGGAGGGCCCCCTTCACCTGCAAATGGCTTTGCTCAAGCCCTGCAGAGCTCTTCCTCTTAACAATCTGGTTGAGGAATAAATCAGAAAGAGAAATTTAAACAGTACTATTGATTTCTGCATTGAGTGTTCACTGAGGTGTACATTACGTTTAAATATTGCTCTTGATCCAGTGTCAGTTCTGACAAATTTAGTAAATAAAAGGCAACATCAACATTTTTAGAAAAGAACTAAAACACTTCTAGCACTACACTGTCCTCTGAGCACCCTGCCACATTTTCCTGCCCTGCAGTCAGCCTTTCTAATGTAGCTTAAGGCCTTTCCCTCTGTTTCACAGCTAACAGTGTGAAGGGTATTTCAGTATTTCAGGTGTAAGTAGAACTGACCAAAATTAGCTGCTCACCAATGAAAAAAATTATTTTCCTGATATCTCTCAGTTGAAGGAATCAAAAAGAGAGATCAGTGAGAGATGCTATGACAATGGTAAAATGGGAGGGGGAAAAACTGCATTTGGGGGTATTTGCTTTTAAACACAAGCAGCCAAAGAGCCACCACGTAAAGGGAAGCCCAAACTGAAGCTTTCCACCAGGCTGGAAGCCAGCATGCTAGGTGGCCCACATTAATTTCTAGCATCAAGTAGGTCATTTGCACTCCATCCTTTTTGCTGGTACAGGTGAGGACAGAGGGAGAGAGGGAGGCCATGATTGTGGCTTTGCAGCCCATCTACAGGTTCTGGCCCCTCCTCAGAGGGCCACGAAGCCTTTGAGATGGGATAAAGGAGCAATTGAGCCATAGGGCACTGAGCTGCTGTTTGAAAGAACCCTGGCAGTACTGCAGGCACCCTTATTCTGTGTCACCCTACACTGCTTGGAGGTCTGCAAACCATCTCCCTGCAAAAGCCAGAGCTGGAGAAGTGAGTCAGCAGGATGGAATGGGAGCCGTGGGACAGACAGAGTTGTCACAGAGTTGTCTGTGACAGAGTTGTCACAGGCAGATCCTGAAGCCCTTGAACCTGAGCCTCACAGTGAACTCACATCCACTGGGGACCAGCCTCATGCAAGGCACATAGCAGCCAGGCACTGGAACTGTCTGCCAAAACCAGCTTTGACTCCCCAAACACTGCAAGGACTCCTGCAGTTCAGAGGTGCCCTGGGCTCGGTTTTACTGGATGCAAACGCGAATATTTATAGTAGCCCAGGCTCTCCTGCCTGCATGCTGCTCTCCTCTCCCTGGGTAGGGGCCACACTGTACTCAGAGAATTCAGTGGCTCAATGCAGAAGATCTGGGAGCTGTGCTTTATATCGCCCCAAAGAGATGACCTAGTGGGAATGTCTTTAAACAAAACTTTAGAATATTTTAAAAAATAAGTTAATTCTTAATAAATATGTACTTCAAGAAAATGATAATTATATACTGCACCTTTAAATAATGCACTTAGTTCTCTGCATTGGCTTCCATTTTGGTTTCTTTTATTGTTAAAGTGCATTAATTCAAAATAATGAACCACTTCCGCATCATTATTGTTAAAATAAATCATAACATTAATATGAATCACTAAGTCACTACTATTAGTACTGCAATCTAGCAGATAACTCTATGTATTGCTCTATTTAATACTGTCCAGCAGAAGAATATAATACTTCTATTATAATCTCACAACAGCTCCAGCAGTCTTTTATGGCTGCTACCATATTACTACAACTAAAAATGGGGAGAAGTATGGGAGACAGGGCCACAATGTCTCAGATACACATCCAGTAGGATGCAGCTAACTGGATATACGCTTATGTATCATATGGTAAGACATCAAGGTACAAAGAGGACCCTGCACACTGTGATATGAGCTGTTGTGCAGTTACACCTCCTTCTCCTGCCACCACAATGTAAAGGGATCCCAAACAAACAGCCTCCCCTCCCCACTTGCATGCGGAGAGCTGCTCAAACCACAGCACTGTTTGTAGCCAGTTGTGGCACCTGGATGTTGCTTCAGCTACCAAAAGGACATCAGTCACATTAGCTGTAGGCAACTCTCTAAATGATACCACGGAAATTAATAAACCCCCCAAAGCAACACCCCCACCCCGCCCAAAAAAAAAAATAAAAAAGAAGAAAAGAGGGGGAAATTAGGAAAAAAAGACAAGAACAACATATAAATTGCCTAATTTTTTTCTTTTTCTTTTTTTTTGGCAGTGAAACATCCCCAGTAACATGATATTTTTGTGCTATTTTACTCAGCCCCTTGATCCCAGTTATTTTGAAGCCTTTATAACCTTTAACTTCTGAGCCAAATCAATACGAAACTCTGGTGGAAAAAGAGCACATGTAATTTTTTGTGTAAAGCAGTAGTGAAATGGTCTGCCCCTCCCCCTTAAAACAGATTTACAAGGCTGCCTATTATTTAAAGGAACTAGATATTGATCTTGAGTGATTAACAAGGCTGTACAAAAAAAGAAAAAGCATGACTTCCTTAAGTACAGTAGGGATTCAGTCAATTATGTTTACAGTACGAGGCTACCTCTAAAATAACTCCATATTCCTAGCCTTTTCCAATGGACAGCTCTTCCATTTCCCACATCCGTGTGCCACGTTTCAAAGCATGAGTTAAGTAAGGCAAACAGAACTGGAACTAGAGGAGGCAGCTTCCTGATTAGATGCATTGTAGATCTAATTGCTTTGATATTAAATCTCTGAGCCTGAGAAGCCCAGGCACACTTTCCAGTACAAATGTACTTTTTGGATTCAAGTGGGAACAGAAACACATATTTGGCTCCTACTTCAGTTTTAAGTCTCTTCTGGTAAAACCAGACACACACACACACATACACACACACAGAGAAAATAAAGTAAACCCAGAATGCACAGAAAAGACAAAAACAAAACACAAAAACAATTCCCCAAAAATATACAAATTAAGGATGTGCAGACTGAGTTTGATGGCTTTTTTTTTTTCCCTACTCACTGTAAACACTGATGTTGCAGAAGGTTACAGATATTTCTCACTAATACCCTGGTGGGCCCTGCCAGCAGTCAGCACCCTTGGATTCGGACGAGAGGGCAAAACAGGAATTAACACATTTGACAGGTTTGTCTTCAGTGTCCTAAGGGACTTTTGTACACTTTGATATTATGACAAGTTTTGAGAAACCCAACTCTGGGAAGAGAATCAACCAGGATCACCTGGTGGGAGTCAGGCACAGAACTAAACATGGAGCCTACAAAGTAATCAACGTGCTTAAGCATGGGGTTTGTAGGTTTGTTTTTACAAGCACCAGTAGGCATCACTGCCCTAGAACACCTGAAATCCCAACTCAAAGAACAAGACAGAACAAAAGGAAACAAAAAGCCCCCAACCCACATCACTTGGTTGCCTTTTCTGGTGAGTTAGCAGTAACAACACTGAAGTCAGAGACCAAATCTCTCCGCGGTGAAAAGGCTCCAACTCTGGACCTACCAACTGTTTAGTAAAAAAAAAAAAGAAAAAAAAGTGAGCATCTCCAAAGGATTAGAGTCCCTCTGTTTCAGAAACTTTCATTTGCTTCTCACTGTAAGTTGTGGAAAAGCATTCAAAATTCTTGGGTATTCCACATATGGACAAGAATGAGGAGAAAGGGAGCCAAGATTGTGAAACAGAGTTTGGCACAGAACTCCCCAAGTAGATACATGTGTATTTCTCTCTCACAAAAGGCACACATTTGGTTTCCTATCAATAATGGGAAGGATGGGATGTCATACCCTGTTACACATACAAGATTATTAACAACTTCACAAAAAGGCATTTGACTATGCTGCATCTTCCTCATAGTTGCTTACAACATGTAAACCCCACAAACCTCTCCAGAACATGGCAGATTTGTCCTCAGTATAGACTCCTTTGTACAAACTGGAGCACAGGGAAACGTCTTTTTGTGTAGCAATTGTTTTTTCCACATGTACACAGCAGGAACAGTATAAATTAGGGAGGTTAAAGATATTGCAATATTAGTTCTTTTTTTCCAAATAATTTGAGGGCACCCAGCCTTTGAATGGCTTCACACCATTCATGATCTGGCAGTACCACCAGCCATTTGGGTTCCTTTCGAGGACCTCCATGCAGACACCTTCCTGAAACCCCGCAGTCTCCTCATCTCCTTCATAGTCTGCAATGGAAACATAGATGTCCTTGAGATTGTTGTGGATAAACTGGGACTTCTCAATGGGTTTTGGCCTGACTGTGGACACAGGGATCCCATTCCTCTGCATAGGGAGGTTGGAGGTGGTCTCAGAGCTATGTGTACCCAGCTGCTCAGGCTGCTTTCCCTTTGTGTCACCAGGCTGTGACCATGCATTGCTGAAGGAGGAATTCCGACGGACGGCCCTAAGTTGGTCTGTAGCTGTTAAAGACTCATTTCTGCGCAAGGAGCATGACAGGTTGTTATCCTTTGGTGGCGGAGACACAAACACTGACTGTGGACGGACAGCAAGCTGCCTCACACCATTCCTCATTTTAACTGGCCCTGATGCTTTTGAAAAGCCACCGGGAGGTTTGCTTGGGATGGGTGGTGTTGCACGTTTGCTCTGGTTGATGGTGTTCAAAGCCTGAACCCTCTTCTCTATCTTCTCCAAACTGTTTGACTTGTTTTCATTTTTCCTGTTCCTGGCAAACGAGGAATCAGCGTCTGCTGATGTGGTTTCTCGTTGGTTATCAGGGAGAGCCAAATAATGGGAAGGAGCCCAGCCTTCCATATCTCCGTACTTCAGGTACCACCATCCACTGGCTTGCTTTTCCAGCACTTCCACTTCTACTCCGGCTGGGAAGCAAATTTCAGAATCCTGTACCTTTTGGTATGAGTCAGTGGTCACATAGAAACATCTGGAATCATTTTCTTGCTCAGTTTTGGCAGTATGGCTGGAGCAGAAAATGCCACGGGAAGGAGCTGTGATGAGATCAGCTGAGCCTCTCCTAACAGGGTCATCTTGGTTCTCAGAAGCTGTGCGTGGGGGGCTTGCAGACTCTTCACTTCTTGAACCTTTAAGTCCACCTCTGAGCTGCCCGGTTGGCCTCAACTGACGCCTTAAAGTGCTAATATCCATCTTTTCTTGGCTCTGAGAATCTGCCTTGTTCAGAAAGGGTTTGGGCCTAACAATTGGCTTTGCTCTAATGGAAGGACTCTGCTCAGGCTCCTTCTTCATGCCCGTTCTTGACATGCTACGTAAGCCAACGTCTGAAGCTGACCTTGGTTTTGTCTCCTCGCTCCTGGAATAGTGACATTTTCCAAGGTCGGGCTGGATGTTTTTGTCTGTCTTGAGCTTCATGAGCGATGATTTAGGAGAGCTGGAACATGGAGAATTCCTTTGGATCAAGGACAGAGAGGAACTTTTCTGAGAATCGGAATCTCCACTAGATTCCTTATTGGACAAAGCATCTTCCACGTAACGTCTGAATCCCTCGTTCTCATAGATGGTCTCTTCTTCATGAGCAGCTTCTTCTGAAGACTCTTCTACTTTGAACTTTGCTTTCTGAAGTGATGATACAGGTGAGGGCTTGAGGGGCTGAAACAGTCGTTTTTCAGGAGTGCCCTCTTCATGATGACTTTCACTCACTTCACACTCCGAGTCAAAGCCAAAAGCAGGCACATCATACTCAGGTTCTTCATATTTCAGCTTGTGGGGAGATTCCTGGGTATCTCCTGAAGAAACTGCTCCAGAAGTTGTTCCTTCTTCAGAGTCTTTTGGTTTACTGGGAGGTGCTGGGGGAGGAACCTTTGGGCGGGTTAAAGTACTGGTTCTTCTGTTTAAATTCGGCTTCTTCCTCTTGTCAATGTAAGATGCTGGAGCCCATCCTTCCTTCTCTCCAATCTGCACATACCACCAGCCACCAGAATTCTTTTCTATAACCTAAGAGGTGACAAAGAACATGTTACTTAGACAAAAATCTCAACCGATTACTGTGGAAACTCCTCCTCTTTCAATCCAGTCCCCTGCAATAGCCAAATATTATAATTTTTCCACTGTTAAGGCTCACCTCTGCTTTTTGTCCTCCACGAAAGCTTATGCCATCAGAGATACACGACTGGAACTCTGCAATGGTGTAATATTCCACTTCCACAGAGGGTGGCTCTGGTGGCTTGGGTAACTGAAAACCCTAGGGCAAATAGGACATTTTGTTCAATTAAACCAAAGAAACAGTAAGCTGAACAGCAGTATGAAAATAATTGCCTTTATTCACTAAAACACTCTCTTCTTCCTGTGCTACTTCCTAATTATAACTTCCCAGTTCTCCAGAGCAGAAGCTGATGTATTGATATGGGTCGCAAGAGAGAAGCTGTTCAACATATGCACTGTTCATGCCACTTTCACCAGCTATTAAAACTGTGATAATCTTTACCTGAATAGTAAAACATTTTACTCATGGGCCATAAAGTGTGAGCAGCCATTCCACTCACAGTAACAGCAGCCCTTTTATGCTGAGATTTTTGTCCAGAAAGACTCGGCTCTGGATAACTTGCACAGCTGCAGAAAATTGCATTGCAACAGGCTGCTAATAGATTCTGCCTATCATTAAATGTAATCCCAATAAATTATTGCTCTTAATCTGCTGCTGGATTTTTAAACAATCTGAATTAGTCAGTGATATGAGTTAATGGACACCTATTGTATCAAGAAACAAGGATAATATCACAGACCCCTATGAAGAGCTTTGCTCAGCTAGAGTGCTAGAAGAAGGGAAGGACTCTACTATAGGATCCAGTTCTTCCCTGTTACAGACCCAGAACCTCTATTCAATCCCAACACATAGAGGCTTATAAAGGCTCTATGAGAAGTGGGACACTGCTATTTACAGCCATTCTGGCAGCATACCAGACTCTAAAAGCTTCTACATTAAGCTGTTACATTTTAGAGTTTGCTACAATTATTTTTAAGGTGATAAATGGGATAAAAGTCCTTTCAGTAATTTCAATATTGAAAGCTTTTCAGTGCATAGGGCTCATCTACAGGACAACTAGATGATGGTGAAGCTTCACAGCTTCTACACTTCACTGCTTGGAGTTCTATGAAAGAACTGCAGTTGTGTCAGGATCTCCTGACCACAGGTCAGAGCATCCACAGACACAGGATTGCCAAAGACACAAAATAATCCTAAGACGTTAACTGGAGAAAGGCGAGCTGCATACTGTGCTTTATTCTCATGCTCCTCCATTTCTAAGATACCCTTGTAACTAACAGTTGATGTTTCATCACGCACAGCATGTAGCATTTCTCAGAGAATGCATCTCTGCACCTTAGGAACCGTGTCTAACAATGTTATAATTGGATGTTTCTGCACTATAAATGCTGAAATACGGCAGAAGCACACTATAATAAAATGCCTTCAGATAATAGGATGGTTTGGATTAAATGAAGATAATTGGAAACAGCAGATATGTTCAGAGTTTCACATATAATATCACTGTTACTTTTAGCATGGGATTAAGTGTCGTAGTCTCACCAAAACAAATCTAATTGAAAATAATGCAAAGAAAAATAGGAAGAAAATGCTAATATGCTATTCATCTAGTTTAAGAAGCATTTGAGATGACACAGAAAAATTACAAGTCACATACTGCTCATAAAGGGTACAGCAAAGATTAAACACTATGTGCTGCCTAGATAAACAAGCTATTAGCATGACTTTTGTGCAAATACACTGAGTAGTTCCTATCTGAAGATGACAGTTCTAATCTCCAATTAGTACAAACCTCCAGAATTCCATCTTGGAGGATAAGAAATCATAGGAGGTCTCATTACTATAGCATACATCCTTCCATAAGATTCCAAGCATTTAAACACACACAAGAGTGAATCTTAGCCACCTCAAAGACGGTAGCAATGGGAGGAGGGGGATACATTCCCAGTTGCTTAAGACAAGAAAATGTCAAAAAAATCAGTCCGGACCAAAGACACTAGGAGGAACTTAAAACCTTCTGAGTCAGCCAAACAAGCTTTAATGCCCATGTACAGAACATGAGCCTTAGTAAGTTCTCCCTTCAGATCTGATTATTTGGGGCAGCATTTTGAATAAGAGAAATCCCCAATCAACATTTTGATGAGAGTTTTGCTCAATACTTAAACAATTAAATGAACAGGCATGCAAATAAGGGATCTCTCAGATACCCCCACACCCTGTAGAGATGCAGAAAGTCTCACAAAGCACCCAGACACCTACCCCACTGCTAACATATACCATAAACCAATACAAACCAGACTGGATTCTCTTCGTGGGGGCGGTCTCGTTCTTAGATTTGGAGAACCTGAGCAGGAAAGGGCAAAAAGGAGAGTTTATTTAGCTTTGAAAGTACTGCTAAGCACATTTTCCAGCAGCTCTCTGCTGTTACACAGTTTGAGAATATTAGAAGTCAGTATTTGCAATATTTAAGGCATCTCCATGAAACAAGATAGGAAACTATGAGGGTATATTAGAAATACCAAGGTAGCTTAGCTATTCATCTCAGCTAAGCCAGTAAATTTACGAGGAAATCACTGCCAGAAAGTAGTGGATTGTATTTTCTGCTGGAACTGACCAGCTCCATTGGAGACTGGCCAGCAAAGAACTGGCTTAATACCTAGTTTTCCCCCCCAGCAGTAAAAATAATCCAGTAAATTAATAACACTCACACTGTCCTCTATCATAGTATTTAGCCATTCCTTGCACAGACTAGTGTCAGCATCTGCATTTTGCAGATGAAGTAGTAAAAACATTATAGCAACTTGCCCTCAGAAAAACAGCAGAACAAATACAAGAGAAGACACAGGTTCTTTCCTTGACTTGAATACACCATCACATCATCTGCATTTCTGGGGTAGGAGCACATTTTAGAGTGTTCAAAAGGAACAAAAAGTCTTCTCTGGGAAAAAATAACAAAGTAAACACATGCAGGGTAAGTTAAAGAGCCACCATCCAGCCCTTGTATAAAATGAAGTCAAATTTTATCGCTACGATTGAAGGACCACATTCTGGAGTCCCTGTAGATAGATCTATAGACAGTGCAAAGGTCTGCTTGTGTGGACTTGGCTATAAGGCCAGGACATGTGGGACCTTAGCAGGCAATGCCAGCCCTGAAAGGTAGAGAATAAAATTCATTGCAAGCCCGTGAAAACCCAGACTACTTTTCTGCCTTACTTATTTGAGCTCTTTGTGGTGCTATCCTTGCTATGGCTGGGGATCCCTGGGCCAGTCTGGAAACCTGCTTGTCTGAGGTCATCATGGCATTGCCATTAGAGTCATTGCACAGGATGGGCAAACTGATTTCCTTCTTGGTGATATGTGTTTCTGCAGTCTCATTTTCTACTTGAGCTTCCTTGTCAGTGGATGATTTCTTGTTCAGCAGGTTACTGATCTCCATGATATTTCCTATGATTTCCACTGGCCCAGTTAAGTTCTTTTTTCTAGATGGAAGATCATCTTTAGCCTTCTTCAGATATGAAGCTGGGGCCCAGCCCTCTTTGCCTAGATACCTGCAGATGCAAAAGGAAACATCACCACATCAAACACAGCCTTCTGACGCATTTCAAGTAGAACAGCTAAAGCAAAAGTGATGGATGATAACAAACAAAATTTGCAGTTCTCAAATAAGATTTTTGTGGTCTCAATTTATTACCTATTGCTTGGACATGTCAAAGTCAGCTGAGCTAGTGGTGAACTGTGGAGTTAAAAGCCACTAATCACACTAAGGAAGGAGTCTTTCTGGACAAGAAATACAGTTACTCACAAGGTAAAGTCCTTCACCAGTTTGTTTTATGCCCCCCCTTTGACAAGACTAGGTAAACTCAGTATTTTCCCATACTGCAAAAAAGCAAACTAGTGAGTAAAATATTTTAATAGTTTTTATAGTTCCTAATAGCAACTCAAAATGGAAAAGGCTAAAAAAGGGTGTACAGAGCCCAGTAGAGAGACTCGGTGCCTGCAGTTTATAAAACCCTTGTGCAAGCCTCCCTCCTTGCAATTATAATGGACACTGCCCCTCCTTCCATAACTCCCTGTTCTGTATGACCAGCTTTCTCTTATGGAGAACATGGGACCCTTAAAGTACTATAGCTTCTTCTAGCACTGCAAGATCAAGAAACAATTTGACTAAGGGAAAAAGGCTTCAATGGAGATTCATTTTCCTGAACAAGCTAGAGGCTATTTGAAGAAATAAACTGGGAAATCTGAACAGACACCTGAATCCAGTATGTGTTCCCGAAACACCAGACTGAGCTGATCATGCTCCACTTCAAACTGAAGTCATTCTTCCACAACTTGGCTTTGGGGAAGATGTTTTTTCTAACTCCTGCCATTCCTAACACCTCAGCAGGGATTTCAGATTACAATCAGACTCCAGGGAGGACCACGTGGATGAACTCTGCTTTCCCTAATGAAATCCTAACTTGCTACAGAGTGAGTCACTGAAACCTTTCTCTCTTTAATCTCTCAAGATACCCAAAGCAGGCGCTTGAGCTGAACGTGGGAAACCAGGCACCATTAAAATTCTGGTGCTCAGGAAATCTGCAGGAAATACAAAGGTTAAAACAGTAGGACTTTAAGGCTCTTTAATGAAAATGGAACCTCATTAGACAGCAGAGGAAGGAACCGGGGCATGTGGGATATGAGGAAATCATTCCTTGGCAGGTGAGCATCTTTGTTATGACAATACGTGGATTCTGAGGTTTGTGGTGAGATTTCTTCATCAAGTCACATCCTGGCCTCCCTCACCATATCCAGACACTTGAATGGCACTGGGACTTTATGGGGAGAACAGGAAAACACAGTTTAGATTTGATTCCCTAGACTTCATTACTGTTCCTGTACAAAAGCAAATATAAATGCTGTATTTCTAGCAATGACTACAAGGACTTTTCTGTCCAAAATCCTGCCTTTTCCTCCCCAGTCCCCTAGATGAGCCAGGATACTAGAGATGCTGCTTCTCCCTAGATACCTGCCTTCTGTCACACATGAAGGCAAAGATATGGGATCTCCCCTGCTCAGGGAGTTTAGTGACAAGTTTTTCCAAAGATTCCGGAGGGGTGGAAAGCATCCCAACAGCTCTGAGCTTTGTTTGACACATGGAGACTAACAAGAAGTAGCAAAATGGTAATGACTTGATTTGATTTCAAACAGATACACAGCATCCACTGTGTGATACTATGTCAAGATGCAATTTGTATCTATTCAATCCTGTCCTTTTTGAGTTTTTTCTGCTAAGCCTCATACCAAGCCAAAAAAGAAAAGGAAGAAAGGCCTCAACATGTGCTAACGTTTCCTGTTGTGGCAAGGCATCTCTTAGTGCCATTTTCCAGCCCTGAAGACTTTTGGCTTCATTCCCTTTTGCAGTCGATAGTTCTTTTGCAGAGCTACTGACCAATGCTTTCTGTGCATCAAGAAAGTTTTTTTTTAAAGGACATTTTATAAGTTTATATGACCTATAGATGTAAAGGTCTTCATCTGTGAGAAAGCCACAGTGGCCAATGCACTGTGGATTCACAAATGTGCTGTGGAATGTCCAGTTCCAAAGGTTACTTTCAACAGAGCTTGATTGTGCAAAATCAGCAAGAAAAAACAGTTTACATCCATCTTAGTTTGTGGGAGACTTAACGTGTTTAAGATCAGAAAGGCAGCCACAGGCAGGTTCTGTTCTGGCTTGTCAGTTCTCCTGCCAACTGTATGTATTTGGATCAGCCTGTATAACCCCACTGCTTCAAACACCTCTGATCCCACATAGTTTCTCCCAATGAATATTAGCAGCAATAGCTGGACAGTTAATAACTGAGCAACATATCCTCAGTAGGGAGGCTGTTTGCAGGCTATTACTTCCCTGGAGTTAGTCAATACAACCTGGAGTGAATGCTGAGCAGAAGTTGCCAGCATCTGCCAGTTTATTTCTACAACATCACAAATAAAAGCTATTTATGTAAGTCAAATAGGCTTACATTTTTTACTTTAGTCCTTGACTTTGGTAATCCTAAAGCTCTTTGCAAACATAAGCTTAGAAGACTACTGTATCTCCTTATTTTATAGGTGAAAGAACTAAAGCAACTCATAATCAGCTTCAGAGAAGTCCTGGACTGGTAATGATCTTCATTTCATATCTAAGAGTTGAAACACAAGCATCCTTCCTTCATTTATATTCACAAGCTACTGGAAATGTTTCAAACCCCATCCTAGATTCCTCCTCGTTTCAGTGCTGCTAACACCTCCCAGCTGCACTTCATTCACATGGGCTGAGGCTCAGAATAACCACAAAATGAAGATACAGGCAAATAACAAAAGCCATACTTAGCATATTGGTACTTATTTGCCCTGCAGTCAAGTCCACTTGGGCACCATGAGACTACCTCCAGGTGACAGAAATAGATACAAAGTTAGATCTAAATGATGGATGTTAATGCCAGCTTTGGGCACACCAGGAAGCAGACCTACTGCATGCAATAGAACAGTGAGAAGGATCCCAGGTCAGAGCCTTTCTTTCATTTCCCCAGAGTCCTGATTTTTTTTTTTTTTTTTTAAAGAGTCATAGTGCACACAGGAAAAAATAAAGACAGACACCAATATTTCTTCTAGCTTCTACAGGGTTTCAGAATTAGGTGCAGTGATTTGGTTCCTTCTTGATTCTAAAATCCTCCCTGTTTATCTTACATGAAGGAAAAAATGGATTAAAACCATAGGAATGTTAAAAAAAGTCAGAAGTGCCTCTGTAAGTCTGAGAGTCACATCTGCTTTCCAGCTCCAGAGCACTGGAATTACTCCAGAGGGAAGCAAGCTAGGGGAAAAAAAGGAAAAAAAAAAAGAAAAGAAAAGAAAAAAATAAGGACAGGAAATGAGGATCAGCACATGGCCAAGAATTTGGAGAAATTACGTATTTAAGGTGGAACAAGCTAATGTCTTTAAGGTGGATTCCATTGCAAACTACTGGATTTGTTTTTACTTCTACACATTGAAGTGTACTCAGTCTGTTATCCAGTCAGCAGGAGTCAACTGCATTCTCTTCCTGCTCCCTCTTCCCTCACACTCATGACAGGAGGAGTTGGTCCTTCTAAGGCACTCAATACTCAGAAAAGTGAATTTCTGCAGAAATGGAATCCTTCTCTGAGGGGTACCTAACAGTACTCAGGGCAGTTTACATACAATGAACAGCACAAGAAGTTGAAGATCAGCTACCCAGGCTGCAAAGGACCAGCCTGCAGGGATGGATCACATCAATGTTTCCAGAAGTGCTGCCCATGAAAAAAAAAACCTTTTTCTAAGAGTTTAATCCTCCAGCAAGAGTGTAGTGTAATGCTCCAGAGCAGCAGAGAGGATGATAGTTGACACCCCACATGCTTGTCACACATATGGGGAGCACCTAATCAATTTTTTCGACAAGAAGAGGGGTTTGTCAACTCAAAATCGAGTTGAGGTCTCTTACAAAAAAGCCAAGCACATGCTGCATTCCTCAAGTATCATGGGGTGGCTGGGGCATCCACTGTCCTTCTAGCAGATTGCCATGAATGAAGGTGCCATGTAAATCACTGCAGCAAGTGCCTCCATCCTGCAGAAGGCACTTCTGCTATACAAAAAAATGTGGCTTTTGGGTTGGCCCAAAAGAGTGTGTGAGAAAACAGGGACAAAAAATTCTGCTTATTGTAGAAGTGTTAACACATCAAAGGGAAAGCTGCAGTAGTAACCAGGCTACATTTCAGAAAGAAAATAAAAAAAAAAAACTAGAGATGTCTTGCAATGGTTCTCCCCTCAGAAAACCTATGCGCTCAATTCCCCTATCTGCAACTTTGGATTCCACTTCTGTGGATGATTAAAGGAGAAAAAAATGTGACCTGACCAAACCCAGGCATTTTTGAGTTCCTCCTATCTAGAGTGCCTTCCTGGCTCCACTGCTATCTTTATTAGCTTATTCGCTCTATGGGACCATTAAATAGAAGAAAAAAATCAGCTTTCTAAGTAAGGGAAATCAAGAAAAACAACAACATTGCTTCAGTCAGCATTTTCATAGTCCTCATTCATAGTCAATAAATTAAGCAGAATTCAAACAAAAGCAAGTTATGACTTAGGGAGGGAAAGGGGAAAAAATAATCACTGTAATTACAAGTTGAATGGAAAAAGATGACTAGAGATGTTTTGCAGTGCTGAGAGATAAACCTTCATTTTTTAGCTACCTATTGTATCACATCTTGTTTAAAGAGAAATGGGATATCACAGCACTGCCAGATTCACACTAAGATACAAGACAAGGAGCAGAATCATGAAAGAGCACTAAAATCTAAATGCTGTGTGAACCCAGATGAAGAAAGTTCTCATTAAGTACTTACCCTGACACCTTACATCATTGAGACAGCATCTAACCTACACTCTTCCCCATAAGCATTTAAAAAGGAGATTTTTAAGTCAAAACTCTCTGCTAAGACTACTGTTCCAAATACATAATAAAGTTTGATAGCCAATAACAACTTTACCTGCTTTTGGAATATAATCCTCTACATTAGGAATATCTAATGTTGACAGGTAGAAGTTAAGGCAAATTAGTTGAAACCATTGGTAAGTTTGGAAGAGGGCTGTAGCCAGCAAACTGATCTCTTATATCCCTGAAAGTAGCACTTACCTGCCCCAAACAGCTCAAGAGATCACAATCAGTCTTTCAGCATTACTATAAATAGATTTAAACATGTTGCAGAATAACTCTTATACTGGAAACACATTGAAATCACACACAACAGAAAGCCTTGTTAGGTCTCACAGATCTTAACTCAGATATGGGCTTTTAACTTGAAGCAAGAAAAAAACCCTCTAAAACTAGAAGTTAAGGCATTTCCTCACTGGAACAGTCCACAGCCTTTGCAGACACTGTAGTGTTACTTTAATCACCATTGTATCGCCTTAGACTTTATGTTTCTTCAAGAGGCATTATGAACAATTTGGGCTTCCTTGCCCAGCTACAGAAGTATTTAAACTCTAACATTAAGTGAATGATCAGAAAAGCTCATTGTCACAGTTTCTGTAACGATCAGGCTGCAGAGCTTCTTTACCTTATGTACCACCATCCTTCCAGGTTCTTTTGGATGACCTCCACGGTGACCCCTTTCTCGAACCCAATCTCATCCTTCCCCTGGCTGGCGTACGGCTGGATAGTGACATATTTCTCTTCTAGTGAGGGGAGAAAAGGTAACATCAGTTAGGGTCAGAATCAGTCCAGCTGTTTTTCTGTACTGCTTGCTTTTAAACTGTTGTGCAGTGATTACGTGAAGCCATTACAAAAGGCGGAGCCCTGCTCAGGGGCCCGCTGGTTATTTATGCTGACGACATGATAGATAATCAGCCTCTTGCCACTACCCTGCTGCTGATAATCACAAAATGTTTCCATGCCAATAATGACACAAAGTCTCCAGAGAGCTTTCCCCCCTTCTTCCCTCTCCTCCCCCCTCCAAGTTTCTTGAGCGGGTAAGGGAGAGGATTTGAAGCTGGACTTAACTCCCATACTGTAACTTGACAGAATCAATCCGGCTGCCAAATCAGCCAAGCGTCACCACAGGAGCTCCAGCCAGTTGGCTCTTTGTGCATGCACATGGCTGCACAAAGCATTGTGTTACTGAAACCCGAGCGGGACAGATCTCCCCAGCTCAGAGGGGCTGGCCCTCATGCTGCTCTCCTTGCACCTCCCAAGCAGCATAGGTCTACAGCAATGAGCTTGAAACAACATTAAAAAACGTGACAAAAGAATAAAAGAGGTTTGCATTTGACAGCATTTGCATTCATGGGTTGTGAAGTGTTTCACAAACATGCTTTTGCTAGGCTTCACTCCAGAGAAATGCACGTGTGGCTCGGGTAAAGGAGGGCCAGAACTAAGACATGTACTTCAAAAGCAAAGACTGGATTTCAAGTACAGTGTTTGAGCCAAAAATTTAGCATCCCTATTCGTCTCCAGCATCTATCCCCTTCCCTGCCGGTCAGAGGTAAGCAAGCAGACTTGCTGAGAACAAACCAAGGAGCAGAGCAGAACAGACACTCTAGCACAGCACTCTACCCCCAGTACTGAGATTCCTGCTTTGCCTGTTGCTGCTCTCACCTTGCTGCCTTGCACACATCACATGTGATATCGCCCATCAGAGGCTCTGAATGATCCACTCTAGAAATTCAAACACTGAGTTATTGAGGAGGATGGAGCCTCATCCAAATACCCGGGCACTGGGATGCACAGGTAAGGTTCTTCTGAACTGCCACTGTCTTATCCTGTCTATGAGCACCATTGCTTACATCTTCTGTCCTGTGGCTTTCAACTCAAACCCACTGCTCTTCAAGAGGAAAAGCCTTCAGGTGACTCCTCCCTATACAGGGGAAGTAGAAAAAAGAGAGTGCATGGAAGTAGGGAGGGAAGAGAAAGGATCTTCTGTGAAGCAAGACAATCAAAAGTGCTAAAAATCCACTTAGAAAAGGAGGTCCTACAATGTTTTTGTTTAGCAGCTCTATTTTCAAGCCTACAGATCAAAACCAAGAAGCCACCATTACAATTTCCCCTCGCAAAGTACTTCAACAGCAAAAATTACAGCCATTTGCAGGATTACACGTTTGGTTTCTGTCAGTGCTGCTGGTGGTACCTCAAACATACATGAAGTTTGTAACTTAAACAGTATTCTGGAGACACAGCTCCTCTTTTAATCAAAGTGTAAATTGCGTTTTGTTTCTCAAAGATTATCTCTAGCCAGTGGACACTTGGTATAAATCAATATTTACTGAAGGGAGCAGGAGAGCTTTCAGTAGATGTGTCACTTAAGAGGACTGATACAGAATTCAACGTATCAGGTTCTTATTCAAAAGTCTTTAAGAGAAGATATTTCATGCTTCATGACTGACACGTAAAGTTACTGTAAAGACTTAACACAGATAAATGGTTTCATGAGAGAATCAGAAGAGCATCAGGCAGCAGAACGACACTGCTCTAAGTTATACTGACAAATCTGATATAACAAGCTTGTTTCATTCAGCTTCTGTGACAGGCAATAGTATAAAATACAAGCCAGTGAACCATCCCAGACCTACTATTAAAGTTATATGCCCAGATCTACAGAGAATAAAATAGTGTATAATTTTGGTTCATTAAGTTTTGACCTAAGAATTACCAGGGGAAAAATAAAAAAGGCTATCAAAAGTATAATTTGTATTCCCCAGCTGCAGCTTCTGTTACATCAACTTGTTGAAGTCAAGTGGGCAGAATAAACTTTACTACATGCTACAAAGCACACACACCAGCTTAGAGGCTGCACTTTTGAAGTAATGGGATGAAAGTTCTATTTCCCCTTCAAGGAGAAAATGGCAAGGAGGCACCTCTGTTCTTAGTGAGTGACATCCAGGGATGTATTAACAGGTCAATTAGCAAACTTCACTTATATTTCTTTACCGCTAATTTGCAGGTCAAAGACATCTTCCCCAGCTGAAGTGATGAAGGTTCCTCTGCTGGAAATTCAGCTGCACTAGTAAATCTGAACAAGGCACACATGAAGAAGCAAAGCCTGTTTGGCAAACAGCTACAATACAGGTCTGTCACATCATGCATTATCCAACTGGAACCTACTTGGGTTGGAAGGAAAGGATTAGTATGTGTCATTTTCCTTCCTACCCAGACACAGACACTATTTAAAATATGCACAACAAGAATTCTTGCACTATTTGTACTACCCAACTCATACCACACTGCTGTAGCTGTGCCTCCCAGACACCACGGCAGCCCAGTGCTCAGTTCACTAGTTATTCCAAAGCCTCACTTCTCTATCAATCTTTCTACTCTTTCTTTTCCTCCTTCCCAAGTAAAGGCAAGCTTCTATTTCACTCTGGTTCTACCTGAAATCTCCAGGAGAAATGCAGTAGAGGTTTGGGGCCAAATTTTGGTAGATCACTGGGAAAACAGTGTGGACAGCAGAGGACAGCACCCATGTCCTTGGAACAGGCCACAATACTACAGAGAGTGCTTTTACTAGCAACAAAGATTTCCTCCAGAAAATATAGCACAGATCTGGCTGTCCAGCTGGAAGGTGTGCACATATACAGGACAAAAGAATTGAGCCGCACAATGCCCTGCATTACAGCCACATACTCAGTGTGTTCTGTACAGATGTACACAACAGGCCTGATACAAGGAAGTCACTGGTATTATAACTACTAGAAGACAAAAGAAGAAAAAGGAATAGAAAAAAAAGAAAACCAAAAAATGACTGAAACCCACCAAACCAACAATACAACCATTTTGTGTTCCTCCAGCAACATCACACCGTTCTGCCAAGCTGAGGCCTTTCCTATACACAAATAGCAATAGCTTTAAAAGTAAAAGTCACTTTGAAAACAGTTTTTGAATGCATGCCTAGTGCTGCAGTAGCAGAGACCATTCCCGTTTCCTTCTGTCATCCTGCCTTGCACCTGTCACCTCTGTTTGCACAGTTCATGTCTCTTTTATGAGATGAATGTGAAGCCAACCTAGCCAAGAAAAAGTTGGTATGACCCTAAGTCTGTTTTGGTTCATCGCAGATCTGCAGTGAAAAAGGGAAAATGCTGGGAACGATGAGGCCGGTTCTTTCAGTGGTTACACAAATGCTGCACAAAACTCTTCTCTATACCAAGGCAGGCCAGTTTCTATGCAGCTTCACTTAATTTTGAGGAAGGAGTCCTATTTCTGAGACTGCTGGAAACAGAATCAAGGCAACCCATGCAAAACTGGATCTAAAACCTGGCTAGGATAGTTTAAGAGTTCTCTCATAGGAGAAACTTCAGGAGAGCTAAGATGAAGCTCCATTTGCTTCTGAAGAAATTGTACCTACTTGACTAACAAAGCAAGACACTGAACCTGACAGCCCATGGGGCTTGTCCAATCCCAACTGTCAAACCAGAATTTCATATCTTACACGTGTACTTGCGCACACACACACTACACATGAAAGTTATGAGGTGTCTTGAAAAGACAACTTGGTCCCTCCTCTGGCTGTCTGGATTTATACTCACTGTCAGGTCAAGGAAAGCAGACCTATGGTTTTACTGCTCAAGCTGTAACATAGAGTTTCAGTAGCGTTTTCCAAATCTTCCTTATTCAATCCTCCAGATTCCCTTGGCACTGATTATTTCAGATTCCTCCTACTCTATCACCAAGGTAATAGACTTGCCCCAACATTTTCAAAGTCCTCTACTGTTGCTGCTCCTCACTGCCAGAGCCCTAATCCATCCCTTCAACCCCTTTTGCACAGCCACTTTAGCCACCTCCTCCCTCCTCTGCTCCCTTCTCAGCCTTTCAGTACACTGCTCTTGCTGAAGGCTCTTGGCACAGCAGTGCTCTGGCCCTTCAACCAGGCTCCTACCAAGCGCATACCTAGTTCAGCTGTCCCATCCTGAAGTTTAAAGTCTGTGTGCTGTACCGTGCTTTAATATCCTACTACACACTCTCACATGTTCATGTAGATTTCCCACTCCTCCAAATTCTGTGATCTTTTCCCACTCAGCCTCATGCCTTTCTTATGATGCCTCATCAGCCTGAGCAGGCTCCTTCCTCAGTGGTATCAAATAACCTGAAACTCCAAAATCTTTCCTAAAATAAGACTTACCTACCCTGATTTCCTGCCTTACCAAACAAGCTTAGTTTTAGTCCTTCTCTGAAAGCTTTTAAAAATACTAAATAAGTATCATTTTTCACTGTGAAAACCCCTTCGGTCGCAATAAGATGCGTGCCAAATTGCCACTTGCCCAGGTTCCTTTGATACACAGATCTCCTTCTCTTTGTTTAGGCTGTAAACTATCTGGGACAGGAACCGTGTCTTGAAACAGCTTAAATACCATGCACATTTCCAGCCCTGCATAATCAGTGTCATCTTTCCCAGGCAAATGGCCAGTGCTCATACATTTCTGCTTCCACATTCTGAGCACCCCATTTCACATGCCTCTCCTTCACCTCTTTTTTGTACGTTTGCTCTTTTCTGCCTCCATTAAAAAGTGTAGAAGTTATCTGCAGCACTTCAGGAACCAACCAAATAAGGGAGTAATTTCCTTTGCTCAGCTGGTGCTTGTACATGCCCCCAACTTTCCGTGACCCCATCCTTGTTTGATATGCCAGCAGGGGTGGGGGTAGGGGGGAACTGGTCTAGAAATTAGCCAATTAATGATTTCTCAGCAAAATGCAACAGCCCCAAACCTACATCTTCCAAACCACAGAAGAATTTTCTTTCAAAATACTTTCCCCTCAGTCAGCAGTCTGCACTCGCCCTCCCCCACTCCTCCGCTCCACCCCCCCTTTGTCAGACCTGCTTCTGGAAAAAGTCTCCCTGTTCCAGAGAGCATTAATTCAACATGGTCTTTGTTTTACTTGCCTAAATATGCAGCAGAGAAAATAACTGTCCACGGTTATCAAATCTGTTCATCTGCAGACAGGAGCTCTTCAGCCTTTGTCCTTACCCCCCACCACCACCTTTTTTGTTTGAAATAACAGAAAACCTTATGTCAACAGATAGAAAAGAACAATAACGACATTTCTTTTAAACAGTTTAGTATTGCGCGTGCTCTTTCTTCAACCAGCAAGAGGCAATAAACGTTTACTACTTTCCTTGGAGAACAGAGGGAGAAAAAAAAACAACCAAAGGAAAGAACAAACTAAGTCTGAAGCTGCTCTGTGCTGGTTTGATTTAACACAGTAGTGTCACTCACAGCCTTTCTGTGAGTGAGAAACGTTTCATCAGCATCAAGGACAAACAGGAAAAGAGTGAAAACAAAGGGAGAAGTCCCATGGGTAATGAGGGGGCTGTCAAAGAGGGCAGAACAGCTCTTGTGAGATGCAGGAAAGGGTAAGGGTGTACAAGCAGACCAAGACAGGTTGGATTACCAATATTGATCAAGTGCTCTTTCCACAGATCTAAAATTGGCTGCAGAACCACCCACCTGGGCTAGGACATGAGGTTTCAGTATCAAGACCAACTCAAGATAGGGTTCAATTATCAAAACCACTGGGTTACATGGCTGCCTACTCTTTACACAGTGTCCAGCTCTCTCCATCAAGGTCCTGCTCTCCCTAAGATAGGCAAGCAGTTGGAAGAGCTATAGGTTCCAAGTTCTAACTTTAACTCTTTCAATGAATAGTTTATTCCTTGTACTAGGAGCTACTCTTAAATAATAGGCTCATTTGGCAGAAAATTCACCCCATATGTTGCTATATTGTTGGTATGAATAATTTAAAGTACTTTCCTGCATTGTAACAGGATGGGCACAAAACAGAGCAGCAAAAACTTATGTCAGATATCTGTCATAAAAGACAGGCATGTAAATCCCCAGTTTTACCAATCAAACTGTAAAAGCACAAATGACTTTCCATTAAATTAGCCTGTAAAAAAATCCCAAGTTCCCTGCCAGGGGAAGTTCCAAAAAAAAAAAAAAATCCATATTTAGAATTACTATTTAACCCAGTACAAAACATGAACTCTGCAGCTTGCAGGTCTTAACGAGTGTCAAGACCGAGGAAAACTATAAACTTTCAGGCTTCTCACAACCTGTATTTGTATTACTGGAGTTTCACATAATGTATAGGAAAAAGTTTAGAAAATGTACCACATTTAAAAACATTTATCATAAAAAAAATGCAAGCTTTGCAACTACATAAGAAACATAAACCAATGTAATCTCTTAGATCTGGGCACACCACAGACCATTTTAAAGAGAAAAGTTCAGCAACAAAAGTCATCTGTTTCTCTTTGTAGAAACAGACTACAGCTGTTCTCTTTGCAGTTTTTTTTAGCTTTAAAAAAAAGGAGTACTACCATGATATTCAATAATTTGTCTTTCATGTTTCTTATTCACAGACCCAGTAACATTGCTTCCAAATATCTGAAGTTCAGGGGTGCTTAGCCTCTTCAAATGACTTTGTAAAGAATAGAAATAAATAAGTCATATGCTACCCCTAGTAATTCTCCTCCATTAGGCGGTCTGTAACAGGGAAGCAAACATCCTTCCTTTCTGCATTCAGGCTTTTCCAGCGTTTTTAATAACCAAGTTACTTAGAAAATCCTGGCCTTCAGAAACAATGCTTAATTCCTTCAGTTCTGGCCTTAAAATGATTCTATCACAGACCTAGTTGATAAAAATGCTAATTAGTGGTACCCCAGTGTAAATATAAAGGGAAGCATCCTTTACAGCTTGCTTTTAAACTCCAGTGAACTCTCGGAACTAACCCAACAGCAGGGACTATCTCAAGCAGAATATCGCTGGGTGGGAAGAATTTCAGCCAAAATGTTTAATTGAGTTTATTTCCAAGGAAGAGGCCAAGTGGGGGAGGGGAAGCTGTTTTGCTTGTATTAAAGAATTCTGGCAACCTCTTGTTCTAACAGCTCTAGTTCTTCTGCACTTCGGAGCAGGGACTTGAAGGTTGGCAGGGGGGTGAGTGCATACACTTCATGCATTCTGTCATTTCCCTGCAAACCCACCCAAATTTGGCCTTGTTGGAAGTCTTTTGGGCTGGAATGGGAGGGAAAGAAGGGAGAAAATATCTCCTGACCTCATATAAACTGTGCTCTGTTAGGAAACAGCAGGCTGGACACCCAGAGAGACTCATACTTTCAACAACTGCAGTTTGAAAGGCATAGATGTCTGTACAGGCTACAGCTATGCCAGAGGACGAAGCCACTGTCTCCAACCTGTGCCCAAACATTCAAATCACTTTCTTTACTCCCAATGAGCCTGCTCTTGTAAGAGCTCCCTAACCTACTATTTCTGGTGAGATTAAACAACTTACTTTTAGCCAGCCTGGCTATTTGTGGCTGAAATGCATTGAAGAGACCTTATAGAAGCAGCTCAGCCAAAGAGGGTGCCCCAAACCTTGGACGGAATCATAGAATGCCACAGTTTGTGGCAAGTTCAAGTGCTAAGATTTAGTTTGAGTTAAAGCACATATTCTCCAACACACTCAAAAAACCCCAGCACTTTTTGGGCCTAATAGGGAAGAAACTGTTATGAAGCAAGAAAAAAGCAGGAATGGAAGAGATTAGGGGAGCCTGTGGTGGGGAAAATTGCCAAGGAAGACACTGACACTGGTCAGAGGGCAGGTCTGGAGAAGTTGCACACAGATGGTGGGCATCAGAATGCAAGAGTGAAAACTTGGGAATGCAACTTAGGTTCTTGAGTCTTACCAGCTGACTATGCTAAGGGACTGGTCATGCTGTGTCAATATTTTATGGAGCTTTGTTTGCAATATTGTATGAATATGAAAGGATGTATTTGTTGACACCAGTAAACAAATTGTTTAGAAAACTGATTCCCACAAATTATCCCAGAAAAATTGCCAGGAAGCATCTGGCAGAGTTTGACAAAGCAAAATAAGTAGCTCCCAAACTCTTGGGGTACAGAAATAAGCACAACTTCTTTTTCATAAGCCAGCATGTGTGCTTATGAGGGTTTTTTTGGTGCCTTCAGGGTGTATTTGGTGGCTGAAAAGCAAGACTTCATCTTTTGAAGGTAGTTCCAGTTGCTGCAGGGTCAAGCTACGGTAGGAAGAACGCTGCTCTTGTTGTTTTGGTTTCCTCAATAATAATTTGAAACAAAGTTAAAGGGTCACTGAAAAGCTGTGTGCGCTTGAGACATATGAGACTGCACGTAGAACCATCATCAAATCCAGAAGGTAAATTTGCTACTTTAAAAGTACATTCTCTCCTTAACAGGAAAAGGCACCTTTTCCTCAACTGGGAATTATCTCTGGTGCTTACATTTGGATCCATGCCCTCAGGAAGGTCATCTGAAAGTTACACAGAGGTGTGAATGTGCTTTGTCCTGCACCTTTCCTTTTTAAAGCGCAACAAATACTACATTTGGATCCTTTTGCAAGTAGAGGGGGAGATAGAAAGGGGTACCCTCCTTTACTCTGGGAAAGATGACTCACATGCACTGGAGAAGTACTTGGTTTGGAAGGCTTTACAAACACAGCTTCACCTAAAGACGAGGTGTTCCCCCCACCCTGCCACGCTCACTGTTAGATCAGTGAAAGTTAGAAAAAAAAAAAATTTAAAATGCTGCTACTGATAGTATTCAGAACACCTAGAAATACCAAAACCTCCCAAAAGTTCTGAACTCTCTCTTTAGTATCAAGGACTGCTTGCAAGGAAGAGAGGGGACTAAAACTGGAATGATTTTCATCTTTCCACACCACTATGCACTTTTCCAGCGCGCACATCTCTTACCATGGCTTTTTGGCATTCGACCCATTTTAATGGCCCTGAAAGTACCACTTGTGCTTATTGAGGTAGGAAAGACTGAGTACAAATATGCCCAAAGTTAAACCACAACAGATGTGATCTTCCCAACAGAATGAAGAATCAGACTGCAGAGTTACCCTTGGCTACTTAGGCCTCCAGCTCCCAGGGTGCCTAATCCTGGCTCCAAGATACCCTCAAGCTGAAATCCACATCTGAACTCTGGAGCTTCTCTCTACCAGAGTGCCAAATATGCAGATTCCAACACACAACAGCGAAAGCTGCAGTATGGCTTTTGGAGCACCCTCAGTGGCCGGTGCCATAGGAAACTATTAATTCACCTCGACTCTGCTGCCTGTTGACTATCCCGCCCAGCGTCCATCGCCGGTCCAGGCGTCTCAGGTGAGCCTTGCGTCGCTTAGAAACTAGTTTGGAACATGGATGGAGACAAAACAAAGGAAAAAAAAGAAAGAAAAAAAAAATGGAGGGATGAGGAATAAAAACAAAACATGGCATTAACAAGCACTGGTCTTGTTAGTGGAAATGGATTAGGCAGGATGCAGATGTTTTTAGTTTATACAGTACAGTGGAACAAGTTATCTTCTTGAGCCTGAGTAACATGAACCATGCAGAACTGTAACAAATTGCAACTCTTGCTATTGGCTTTTCTCAAAAACAAAGCCCAGAAAACCCAAAAAACATATACACCCCGCAAAACAACTATACAACTTGTCCAAGGAGGGTGCAGTGGCAGTTGCATCTCCTAATTTGGCTGCATTATCTCTGGGGAATTCACTCTATTGCATACAACATCAAATCCAACAGGGTTCTAATCCTCTCTAAGCAAAATCATCACACCATAAACAAATCCAAAAAAAAGAAAAAAAAAAAAGCTTTTCTTACGTGAGTTCCCTTAGAACAGCAGCACTCAGGAATGGAACCCAAGGGAAAAGTGTCTGATGTCACCTTGCTTGCAAGACGTGACTTGCAATCACTGCCACAGTTAATTCTCATGATTAAAACTTCTAATATACAGATTACAAATGTGAGGAAAATCCTAACCTTGTAATTATCAAGCAGGCTCAAGAAGCTAACAAGCCAGGACTGGGTATTAGCTACACACTGAAACAATAATTTATGCTTAAACTATAAACAAAGATGAAACACTTATGGAAATGGCATTGTGAGAGCAGCTGTGCACAGAGGACACCACTTGCTTTCTGGACTGCATACTTAGATCTGTACTCAGTTCCTTCTTCTGCCTGTACAGGACCCATTGGACTGGCACAGAGACATAGACAAACACTTCTGGTTTTCCACTCAAGGGCTTCCATGCTAATTTGGCAACTACTGCAGGGGTGCTTGATGCTGCCACAAAGCAATGCAAAATATTGCACATCAGCGACAGCTGAAGTCCAAACACAGTCATTTTACTAGTGATGCTGGGAAGCTGTTAATAAATTCTGATATCACATCATTAATTATCACTCAATTCTTCTTACGTGCACTTATTTAGGGAATATACCGTTACACTGGAGTAGAACCCTAGTCTTCTAAACACCGTTGTGTAAAATGTTTACCCCCATTTTTCTTAATTGTCTCATCATGGAGTAGACACCATTGTCTTCTAGAACTATGTTTTGTCTTCTAGAACTATGTTCTGTAGAAACTCAGACACAGCAAAATTGACTGGGGAGTCATTAGCTGAACAACAACAAAAAAAAAAACAACCAAAAACCAAACAGACAAAAAACCCCCAAACTTTACCAAAAAGTGGCTTTTGACTTTCTGTCCTTTATCAGGGGATAAGCCCCTCTGTCAGGGGCTTAGACAGACTTTTGCACCCAGCTCACTCTCCTTAATTTCTTGTCTTTGCTGTAAGGCCTAAACCTCTCCATGTCACCCTAAGCAGAGGTGCAGTGTTGAACAGACACAATATCTAGTTTGTGTACTCTGTACTTCCCCTTTAGTCCTATGTTGTCAAAAAACAACCACAAATTTTCAGAGGAGCTGACTATCAAGTTCATAGATTGCTGTGGTTTTGGCTAATGGAAATCGGTGATCCTCTCGGAAGCCCATGGTGGGACAGAAGATGAGAGGGTTTAACCTGGTGACTTTCTCCAAATCGACAGGACATTAGACTGCCAGGTTCACACATTCTACACAAGAGGCAACACAGGACACCTCACTAGACACACAGATTATAGCAGAGAGAGAAGTTAACTTCACAGTAAGGTTGCCTGCAGTAGGAGATTTCTGAACGAGAAAGGAGGAAATGAAAGATATTGAACATAAATGCTTGCAGAAAGGAGGGGTCCAGAAGGTGTAGAAACTAGCTGCAGGTGTCAGCATAGAGCAGTCACCTTGCTAATTGCTCACACTGGGACTTCGGAGGATTTGGTCATCCAGGAGCACCCCTTAAAAACAGTGGGTCACACAGATCCACCACACTGTGTCCTCATAACATACAACTATCCCCAATGACAGCCCTCATATCCCAATGATGCTTTTGTACAAGTCAGAGTTTTTTACTCCTCAATGATATTGAATTTTGCCATTTGATCCCAGATTTAGACTTGGTTGGTCATGCCACAGTTAGTCACCAAAAAGGTTGTTTATCAACAAGTGTCTAAACCTTTCCAGAGAGTATTTTAACATGTTTACTTTATCAGCTCCTGTAGCTGCTGAATGTTTCTTTAGATTGCTTTCTGAATGTTTTCCAACCCTTGCAAGATGGTGTTGGTCTAAACACTGGCCCAGGTAACAGTCAGCTGTCTGCCTTCATCCTGACAAAAGATGTTGTGCAGGCTCAGATACAGGGAGGAAACACTTCTGTCTTTCTCAAGGAACAGATTATTTAAACAGAGACATATGAAAATATTACTGCTATGTAGAGGCAGAATTATTAATAATCTGTGTTCAGCACCTCCTTATCTGTACAAGCGCCTGCCACAGCAGAGCAGAATTCTGGGTCTGCCTGGATTGTGGTCTTGTTCCAGGCCCGCCCGTGCAAACGGGGAGGACCAAGAATCTGATACAGAAAGCTCCTACATGAGTGTTGCTGCCCTTTCAAAGTCACTCTGAAACTTGTGTGAACTCTAAATTTAGGGGCTAGGGCACTTAATCCACTTAAAGTGCCTTCCTCCTCAGTTATATCAGAGCCCGCTTCTCCTGCCTACTGAGAGTTGGCAAGTTTTCTGTCTAAGTAGGTTCACTTTTATAACTTTCTTAAAGAGAGTGAACCTGAGTCATTCTTTCCTCACTTATGAAACAATTATATGGAGAAGAATAGCCCAAGCAAAGAAGAACTGGAGGGGAAAAACAACGAACACAAGAAGTCTCAGTTTATATGGTTAATAACATAAACCAAAGTTACTGCAAAGCAAGCAAAACCTGAGGCACATCAAGGCAGCTGTGGAGGTAATGCAATTAGATTTGTCACTGAGGTGGAACTGAACAGAAAGGGAAGAACAGTCTCGGGTTTCAGCATATCTGGATTTGGAGTAAGGCAGGGAGCAGGACTGCTGACCACAGTTGAAGAGAGCAGTGTAACGGATTAAAAGAGACCGAGAGGAAAGAGATAAGGAACATTTGATGGATTTGCCACTATCCAGGATAGACTGCTCTGTGGCAACATCCCTGTGCAGAGTACACTCCAGAGGGCAACACGAAAGGTGAAGGAGAGCTTGAAATAAAAGCAGTTTAAGCAATAAAGCTGTCAAGCATGCACCTTGTTTAAGAGTCAGGAAAAGGGAGGAAGCTACAGACCAACAGATGAGGCATTCTTCAATGCTTGCAGACGAGAGTAGCAAGTTTTTGTTCTTTACTAACAAGGAAACTTTACTAACTGCTTTTGCATTCGCTGAGATGTTGCATCATACCAGACTGGTCCTGACCTACCAGTCTACAGCCAGTCTGTCTCTAAACCCTAAGTGACCCAGGATATGGGTAGATTTGAGCAGGAAAAAATGAGTTACAGAGAAAGAGATTTCAATAAGCCACAGATGTCACCCCTGGGGCCCAGCACAGTTATGTTTTGCCTGTGTGCTCTCTTAATGGGCAGATGGTCACCCCAACACATCTCTAAGCCTCCTGCCTGTGCTAAGGAAAGGTCAGCTGAGTTTCCACATACATTTTACATAAGTGTAACGTCAAGAGCACCTAGATTTAGCAAGACATTCATTAGAATAGAGTAAATAATAATAAAAGTGTCCTTTGTACACAGTTGCTACATGAGAATTCCGTTAAGATGTGGTTAGTCTTTCATAATGGAACTAAGGAATATGTGAGGCTGTACTATTCCATCTCTGGAACCTGAATTAAGCATATTTAGTAAAAAGAAAAAAAAAAAATAGCAGTGCAGCTAAATACATATCATGACAAATGGCATCTCACTTTTAACAGAATGAGACCACACCAAATAAAATTACCTTTCCACACAACCACAGACCACAGCAAACAGCAGTAAAACTAGTTTCAAAGATTAATTAAAAAAAAAGAAAAGTTACGAGAAGGAACAATTGAAGTTAAATCTCACTCCTTTCAATGGTCTGTGGCTCTATCATGCATCTTCTTCCAATTAGAAGCTCTCGCTTGTGTAATTTCTGCAAACAAGCCATGCAAGTTCTCTCCTTCCATGGACACTACCAGAACAAACTGCTTGGACTTGCAAATAAGTTGTTTGTCTACTTTTTAAGGGTATTATAATGAGCATCATTTCATCTTTTGAACCTTTCGTCACACTCATTGTCCAAGCTGGTCACAAAGAGATTACAGACATAATACTTCACTCCAATTTCTTCTGCAACAATTTATTTACTGATACAAGATGGGAGAAGAGGTTACTGCACTGGATTAACAGCCATAAGTGGCAGCAAGAGTTTTCCAAGTTTTCCTCTGAGGGAAAAAAGCATAGAGCAAGTGAATATCTATTTCTCCTTGATGACAAAAAGCTTTCCATACCTTCCCCAAATTTAGATGTGTTGATGTCAGAGTCATCTCTGGTTCCATTTTGGGATTCCAGGTATGTAGCAGGGACCCATCCCTGCTCCTCTGCTGTGCTCACAAACCACCAACCTACAAAAAGAAATTAAAGAAGTCAACATTAAGAGGAGCAAGAACAGTAAATTGCTACCAAGAAGATGGTGGTGTCAGCAGCTTCAGTGCAGGTTTGAGTTATTCTGCAGTTTCCTAGAATGAGAAGGGCTTTAGTCCTATTGTACCATTTCTATCAGATACTCTCCCAGTGGTAAAAAACGGGTGCAACGGAGCAAATGACAATTTATTTTAAGAAACTCAAAGTCCAACCACAACAACTTTGATTCAAGTTCTGTAATTCAGTTTTTCCAAGCTGGTCTTGCCACATGTACACGTATATCTACAGTATCAAAACACTTCGTATGTGAATATATGTATGTGTGAACGTACCTGAAACAGCACAAATGCTGCCCAAATCCTAATACGAAGCATTACAGAAGTCAAATGATGGAAATAGGAAACACTTTAGTAGAAGGGCAGAGATTTCAGAACAGGATACAAAAGTGCTTCAAGAGCACTTGTAACCACAGCTGGTGTTTAAAAAACATGACCTGAATTCAATGCCTTGCAAAGCTGGAAAGTACTGCACAGAACAGAAATAGGAGAGAAAAAGCTAACTGAAATGTGACTTCAGGTAATGAGTGCCAGTTATTTGTCTTCCCACCTGTACATCCAAATTTTTACCACTATCTATAAAAATGTTAGGTATTCACCAGCTATAGGGATATAACCTTTCAGTCATATCTGTGGATGGATGAATAAAATTATAGGCAAACCAACTTCAGACTAAATACATTCCAACCACAACTATCCTTGCCTCTTTTCTTGCTTGGCTACACTGATTTATGGAATCCTCTGCTACTTTTGATGTAGACTCACTCAGCCAAGAACTTCCTGCTCTAAGATATGAACACAACTAGATTCTCCTCCATTCAGACAAGGTCCAGGTTAAGATAATAGGACAATAAAAAGTCTAACAGGTAAGCAAACCACTTCTGTTGTTTTCTGTAATCTCCCAGTTTCCCTCCAAAAACACAAGCTGCTTTGTCAGGACAATGCAAACTTTTATCCAATACCAGTCTTCCAGACTCCCCAAAGGGAGTTGGGAAAACAGCTATTTCTGTACATGCATCTCAAAACAGTTTAAAGACTTTAATGGCTGTCATAAACACACCAAATTTCACAGAAGACTCCCAAGCCTGCCTGTGATAAGCAAAGGCACCATCTTGGTCTGTGAATAGATGGGCATGAACACTGGTTAGTTTATGGAGGGGCAAAGCCCCGAGCTGGGTGATAGCCACACAGTTCTCCCACAGTTGGGATGTCACAGCCTGAGCCCAGCGAGGGGGAAGAGAAGGTCCTGGGCTGGGCTCTGCTGCCATGCCACATGCAACTGTCTTTAAAGAAAAAAACCACCCTCCTGAAACAATGCTCAAGTGTTCATGCTAAAAGTCACCCAAGTTCATGCCAAATCCTGTCATGGAAGATTTTACCAGAGAACAGTAGTTACAAACCCGGTTTTGCTCCCTGGGGCATGTGGGTGGGAGATAATGTGCCCCAAACAATAACCCCTCACTTGCCTCCATGCAGCTCCTAGGCAGCTCTATTTATTTACTCTCCAAACTCAGACATGGATTTCCATCTTCTGGCCCAGCAGAGGTTTGGAAACTTTGCTTCACAAGGCTCATGGTTGGAAAGTTTAAATTTAGTTATTCTCCCTCAGCAGGAGGTGGATTCTCCTGCCACGAAGCCCACAGCAGCGAACATGCAGGATCTGCCAGACCGTTTCAAAAACACGTCTTCGTGGTTGTTCCTTATTTCACTACTAACGTATCGACACGGGTAGCAAACACAGTTTAACATACAGTTATAATTAGGCACAAAATGTGAGAAGCTGGCTTTCAGCTGATATCAATTAGCCTGGAATAGTTTACGTAAACTCTTCCTCAGAAAGAAATTAAGCACAATCGCAGAAAAGACTTGCCTAACTTAAAAAATGTACCTTTGGGCCAAATTCAAACCATGGTAAAAACTTCTTTGGAGAGTTGGATCACACTTGCTTGACGCCAACCCAGTGCTAGCCCATTTCACAATACAGCTCCTCTGGTTTGGCTCCTTGAGCTGCACAGTGGCCTCAGAGCCGAGTTTAGGTCTTGTGTTTGGGGCCACAGAGTAGCTGAGCCTCCATCCAAAAGGGCTCCCTGCCAAGAGAATACCCCTTGCCCTCATGCCTAGGTATGCACTTGCACATATGCCTCTCTCACATCACCATGCCTCCCTACTGCCATTCCTAGCTCCTGAAAGACCTCAGCAAGGAAAACTCATGACTCTGATCTTGGGAACAGGTTCCAGTGTAACAGCTGGAGATCGAGTCACATTTGAGCTACGTTACAGACAAGTAACTCAACCAAATCCAGCGCCATGTGCAGACAGAGCATATAAGAGTCCAGCTGAGGTTTTAAGCTGCTTTGATTCTTCAAGCAATGACTAAGGCTAAAGCTTCTAATCACCACAGAACTCATGAAAGTTATCATTTCTTTCTAAAGGTTTCCTTTATAAACTCTGTGCAAGGATAAAGCATAAATGAGAGATCTCCACAACTACTGAGAAATCAGCAGCATCTGTCCAAGTTCAGGAAAAAACAGCCCCAACTCTGAAATTCTCTTCTCCCATTTCAAGCTTGTTTCTCAAAAAGACAAAAGAAAGGCTTTAATGTAGCTCGTTGAAATAGCACATCTACACAAAAAAGGTGTGTTTTACTTAAACAACCCAAACAACTGAGAAGACTGAGAAACTTTCAGCAACACACCCTGGCAACAGAGAAGTCACAAATGGATACTCACAAGCAAGATGTGCAAGGTCTTAGAGCAGCCGAGCAGACACTGCAAAGGCAGCACACCCCTTATGAGACCAAAACCTGAATTATGATGGCACATCCAAGCCATAACCTCCCAGAAAGGAAATTGCAAGAATTGACTCCTAGCAGAAAATGGCAGCAGTTCCTCAACACAGCTCCTGCACGGCATCCACAAACTGCAGAACTCTGCCCAGCTGATCATGAAGTACTTGCTCTGTGCCATCCTCTCATTAGAAGCTTTGGGCAGCTGCCATTTGGAACCACCACTCCCCCCCCCCCCCCCCCCCCCCCCCAGGTTCATAGGTGTTCATGATTTGCAGACAAATTAGCCAGATTGGTCTTAGTTTGCACCATTATAGCCCTGGCTTCCTGCAAACAATCTCTTGTCCCCTCCCTGGCCATCTTTCCCAACCCAGAGCACCATAGAAATATTGTTAGAAAACTTGCTTTTGAAACACAGAACAAAACTGCATTTATTTTGAGTTCTCCCTCTATGCTGGAGTTGAGCTTGACTTCACAATTCATTATTAAAACCATTCTGCAGCAACATCTGCAGGGAATTATGTAAAGTTATCTCTGTGCACTGCCAAGCCAGTCTGAGGTTCTCTCTTGCACTCACACCATCTGTAAAAATTAGGCAGTGCTTTACAGCTTGAGTTAACCCTTACAGATGCCCCTGTCTCTCAGGCATCAAAACACAACTCTAAAGGTGATGTGGCATGGATATTTAGACTGAGACTCATCAGCTCTCATCTCTGAAGAGGATTTAAAGGGAGTCTGAGCCTCACAGAAGGCACATAAGGAGTTGTAGCCACTGTGACCAGACCAAGCTCAACTTGAGCTTTGTTGCATTACTCCAACAGTCTGAACACTAACCTCAGAATACAAATTTTTAAGGTAGGAGTGCAATTTTCTCCCCACATATGTTGCCGCTTTGGTTGGCATCTGTCAGCATCCCTTGCTGCAACCGGCAAGATGTCTCCACACCCACAGAGTCCACGGAAGCTCAGATAACTCTCAAGCATTTTACAAGTTACTGAGAAATTACCAGTTTCACTTGATATACATACATATGGCAAGTTGATGATTGCAAAATGGATTGGTCACACTGCAGAATGACTAAATGACAAAAAGACTTTGATTCTAAAAAATCATGTTCTTGCTTTTAATTTTATTCCCAATCCTCTTCTCAAAAGGCTTTTACAAAAGCAAAAGAATTAAGCAAATGTTAACCACAACATGCACCATGGGAAACTACTGGAACATAGTTAAAGGATGACATTTTAGGCAAGTTTTGCTTATCTTTACATGCATCCTTATCCAGCCATTCTTCAGTATTGTCCCTTTCTTCACGCCAACAGGGAATCAGTTATTCCCATTGAAGCTTGCCTGATCATAAGATGCTACAAATCACTTTAAGAAATAAATACATAAAATTGCAGGATAATGCTGAACATTAGTTTCTAATTCTCTCCTCAGCCACTAATTTCTCTATAGATTTTATGAGCTCAAGTAAAGTAAACAAGACTGATAGCAACACTGTTGGGCATGGATATTTCTCCTGCAGGAGTACACATTCCTCTAAACAAATACTTAAATAACACTCCATCTCTCAAGAGTCTTGAAAAAATCCCACACAAGTAGCAGTCTGGTACATTTGACATGCGCTCTTTGGGCTTCAGAGAGATGCTTTTTTAAGTCCTTCTGCCTTGGAACTATCTCAAGAGACTTTTTTTAATCCAACAACATAAACTGTCCTACAAAGCAATACTAGATGCAATTAAGTCACTTCCAGACCTGTCACACAGACCTTTTCATGCCAACAGCTGATTACTTCCCTTCAGAGATATGATCTGCTTCATTAGAAAATAGCTAAGGTAAGAGTATTGCTGCACAGCTGAAGGCACTTGGCTTTTTCCACCCCCTAGAGCTTGTCCCACACCGTACATATATATTTGATAAACATAGGGCAGCCAATCATAATTGCCTCCGACAGACCTCTAAAGAATGCGTAGAAGTGGAAACAGAAAGGCACCAGGAGTGGCATTCTACAAGACGGATTTTTCTGCAGTAAGATTATGCTCACACCCACTTCTGTGCCTGTATGCTGTTAGACACTACTGTCCATACTGGCTCTGCTCGCTGTAAAGGGCTATTTCAGTCCCACACACTTGGCAAAGGC